CATTTGAAGAATACTGGTCAGGTATTTTGTAGGTTGTCTCTTAATTTGGGGTTGTCTGATGTTTTCTCCTGATTAGGCTGGGTTATGGGTTTCGGGGAAGAAGACCCCAGAGTGAAGTGCCTTTCTCATCAGGGGACATATGGCAGCAACATGACTGATCACTGGGGATGTGAACCTTGATGGCTGGTCAACCTGGTATCTACCAGCCTTCTCCAATGCAGAGTTGCTATTTTTTCCTTTCCACAGCCAATTTTTTGGAAGCCAGTCACCAAGTCTAGCAATCACCAAGGGGGAGGTAATTAATGTCCACCTCCTGGAGAGGGGGTGTACACATAAAGGATGACATGGTTTCTAGTCCCTCTTGCGGACAGAGTGAGATGTGTGTACATGTACCGATGTTATCTCTGTTTATGTCTGTATCTACTCTCTGTATGTATATTAAATAAGGATGAGTTCACACTGATGTCCCGACTCGACTCTAGCACCACGGGCCATTCTAGCTACCCCTTGCTGACATGTCACTTCTCTGATAGTGAGAAACCTGGCCCCCACTATGCACCACATTACATACTGGTTCAATCCTAGTGTACATGTAATGTAACTTCAGAATCATTGGAATATTGTTTTTAGCCTACTTTTCTTTTCTTTTTAATGTCTTTCCGCTCTGCCCACCATATCCTTACCTATTGAAATTTGACACAATTAATATGCTGCTTTCTTTATGTTTAGATTAAAATAGGAACCAGATCATGAGTAATTTCCTGAAAAACCTGACTTTGCTTAATCGTGACTGGGTCTGCCATCTCTTCCTTCAGGCTGGGCCTGAAGTCACTCGTGCATGTTCCCAAATGGGGTAAATAGATCTGCCCCAGATTCCCCTCTCTGCATTTTCTGGAACAGCATTCTGGCTGCTGATATCAGGGTCCGTTGTCTTGCTCCTTCTGCTGGCTCTGATCAGCTTCTTTTGGACAGAACCACGCATAGGAGGGCTTCTGGCCTCTTGTCCAGTTGCCACACATCTTCTTCAGTCTCCTCAGTTCTGTTGTACAGCCAGAGGCACAGCTGGCTTTCCCGCCAACTTCTGGGTCCCGGGTCCTCTCTTCCTGATGCGCTCCTCCTGCCTCCCAGACATGCTGAGCTTATATTGACCACAAGGGTGTGGAATAGCAGACATTCTGGACCTCTCTTCCCTGCTGGGGGACCTCATCACTCAGGGTCAAATTTCAGAATCGGACACAGAGAATGTCAAGTTCTTCCTTCAAGCTCATAAAAAAACTCACAAAGTTCAGGAGTCCATGGCTACTTAAGAGGTTGAACTGGACTTGAAACAACCAGAGCCTGAACAGGAGAGAGAAAGCGGGGAGAGAGTCCCCTTATCCTGGAGCACAGTGATTTATAATCATCACAATCTGAATTTAACCTTGAAACCCTGAAAGATACCAACCTATAGACCAAAATGTTAGCTTAAAGCTAGAGTTGCCGCGTTACTGGGACACTCATGAAGCTGGGCTGCGTTGGCTCTGGTCCCACAACCTGCTAGAGGTGCAGTTGGACCTTCTTTGCCACAGAACATGACATAATCTACCACCAGTAGCCAGAGTGTCTCAACTCAATTTTCTTCCCTAGCGTCTTTTTAAGAGTCATCCTCCAAAGAAAGACAAGAGATCTTTAAAATAATCCTTGAAGCTGACTAAACCCCAGACTTTGCTGTTAGATTCTCTTTGCACATCAACGTTCATTGTGGTGGGCACTTTGCAGACTCTTAGACAAGAAGGGTACCTTCTGAGTGTTCCAAACAGCCTCTTGTTTTCCCAAACACACCTACATTATTTAAAATGTGTATCTTATCTTATCTCTTATATCTTTCCGATGGCCTCATCCCCCTGAGTCCCTCCCACGGTAGATGGACAGTTGAGTGACCAAATGCCAAGAAGAGTCTTCTGGGTGTTGACGTGTCTGGGCAGACGTGCAGGAGACCTTGCTGCTGACCCCAGTGCTGGCTGGGCCTCTCCTCCTACAACTCTCTCCCCTCCCCTTTCAAATGTAGGGGGAAAGGGACAGGGAAGGAAAGGGACAGAACGAAAGCTGAAAAAGAAAGTGTGTGACGGTTCCACCGTCAGCTTTCCCGCCCTGTAGGAAACAGTTCTAAGCAAATCTCCACAGTCCTGCAGACCTCAGCTGCCCCAGGGAACAACAGCTCCATGGTGCAGATGGTGTCTGGTCCCCCTGGGGCTGGGGGCGAGGGCCGTCTGTCCATCCTGCCCCATGCTGGGAGCCCACACGTGACATTTTGGTTCTCTCATTATCTCACTCGCATGCAGAGGTGGTGCCTTGCATGTCCCCGCTGTCTGCAGTCACACGTCCTGTATTGCCTCCACTCCCTCCCCGGGTGGGCTGTTCGGGTTATAACAGGAAGAGGAGGAGAGGAAGCCCAGCTCTCTCTTCCCTGGATTGCCCCACCACTTACTTGTGTTCTTATTTACCCTCTGAGAGGGTGTGTTGGCTCTTGCTGCTTTAGGTGTTGGTGTCCTATTCACCTATGAGGTCACCATCCATCTGTCAGTCCACTTAGTCATTCAGTAAGTATTTTTGCTGACTCTTTGATAGCATTGGAATGACCATTCTAGATAAGAATGGAGTCCACAGTCTAGCGGAGGACAAGTGGAGAAAAAATAATGAGTGGTGGGAAGGGTGTGAGAGGCCTGTCCGAATGCTGTGAGGAGGGCGAAGCCCTGAGGACGCTGGTGGGACGGCGGTCACGGAGAACTTGACAGAAGAATCACGGCGGGGGGTGCTCACCGGAGGAGCCTGTCACAGGCACAAGGCACAAGGCACAGGAGCGTGACCGGTGTGGCCATAGTGGGGGCATGGTGGACAGTGGCGGGAGGTGCTCTGAAGGGGCAGGGCCAGGTGGAGGGACCTGCCTCCATGATGAGGCTCTTGGTCTTCTTCCCCCAAAGGCAGGGGGCCACGGAGACTTCTCAGCACGGGAGTGACAGGACATATTTACATTTGAGAAAGATTATTCGAGGAACAGGCTGGGGGATAATTTGGAGTAGAGAAAGACTGGATATGAGGAACAGACTACTCTAGAGGTGACGACAGCTGAGGCAGTGAGCTGTTGAGATGGGACAGACAGCCTGGATTGGCGGGAAAACCCAAACATCTGGGAGTCCAAGTCTAAAGAAAGGGCCGTGAACTTCACAAGAGCAGAAATCATGCCTGTCTCTGCATTTACAGAGCTCAGTGCCATGATTGTTGCCATATGGTAGGTGCTTAATAAATGCTGGGATGGATGGACAAAATAGACCAGACAGTGGTGTTGGTGGATGGAGGAGGAGAAGAGGGCGTGTGAATGCAGTTTGCGCGACTGTGGGAGAGACACAAGTTTGCTTCCCAGCTGAAGGGGAGGAGGTAACCAAGAGTCAGGTGGAGGTCCAGGAGAGCGGCTCGAACTGATGGTGTAATGTCCCCAAGGAGACAAGAGCGAGTGGGCCCTTCCTGGGCCTTGGTGGAAGGAAGGAGTCCACAGGGAGACGGGTCAGCGATGGTGGCTCAGGAGGGGCAGTGTTCTTTGTGAGAAGGCAAGTCCATCGGCCGAAAGGAGAGGGTGTGGTGACCTGGGCAGCTCAGGAGAAAAGAGAGGGATGGGGCTGGCCCCAAACATTGGCCGGGATGCTCAAGACAGTCCCTATGAATCAACTCTTCTCTGTTGAACACTGTCACCTTCCTAACTATCTTCCAGACACATCTGCCTCCTGGCTCACGTCATGGAGATGAAGATTCTTCCAGTTCTCATCCGGGTATATCAAAAATTTTACCACGCTGTGAACAGGAAACAAAAAATCATTTACTTTCATCTAGAAGCATCATCAGACTGTACTAGCTTGCTGGGATGCCATAACAAAGTACAGTAGATGAGGCGGCTTAAACAACAGACATTTATTCTCTCTCAGTCCTGCAGGCTAGAAGGTCTGAGATCCAGGTGTCGGCAGGGCTGGTTTCTCCTGAGGCCTCTCTCCTTGGTGTGTAGACGGCCATATTATCTCTGTGTCCTCTGTGCGCTCTGCTGTTGGCGGCCTGGGTTCGGATCCCAGGCGCGCACTGATGCACCGCTTGTCAAGCCACGCCGTGGCGGCATCCCATATAAAGCGCAGGAAGATGGGCACAGATGTTAGCCCAGGGCCAGTCTTCCTCAGCAAACGAGGAGGATTGGCATGGGTGTTAGCTCAGGGCTGATCTTCCTCACAAAAAAAATAAATAAATAAATGCCCCACTTCCAAGTATGGTCACATTCTGAGGTCCTGGGGGTTAGGATTCCAAAATATGGATTTTTGAGTGGACACAATCCAGCCCCTAACACAGACTCGGGTCATTTCTCTCCCAAACCTTCCGGCAACCACCTGAGGGCTCTTTAGTCCTTCCATCAAAGCAGGCACGGAGTGCTCTGACCCTACAGTCTTGCCTAGCTGAATTCTTTTGCTCTTAAAGATTGCACCTACCATATGGATAGGAATGAATGTCCCATATAATGGTCATTCCGTTACTCCACTGTGGTCACTGGAAATTCTGAGGCTGAAATCACTTATCTCATAAGCCAGTGTGCAGTCTCTGCCGACATTCTCTAGTGAAAGAATAAACGTCTTTGACTGATAGAAGCCTTCCCTTTGTCTTCCCTTGTGCATGCTGACAAGCAGCCACACCTCCTCTTACACAAGTCAGATCTCCAAGCTTTGTTTCTCTCAGCTACAAAGTGAGGGGTCCCTCCAGGGCTACCATTTCATGAATTCTCCGTTTCTTGTATATATGATGGTTCTTCACTGCTAGAGAACGTCGCTTGACTTGCTATAATCCACCATGTGAAATAGTTCTGCTTTTTAAAAAGGAAAAGGTCTTGTTGAGGATATGGGGCAATGGGAAAGGTACACTCTTCTCAGCAATAGTCGAAAGGATTATCCGAGGTTTCACAGCAGCCTCTTCCTCCCGTCTCTCCTTCACAGTTCTCTATGGCGTTCTGTTTGAGAAGAACAAGGAGGCCGCCTTCGCTAACTACCGCCTGTGGGAAGCCGTGGGGTTCGTCATTGCATTTGGATACAGCACGTTTTTATGCGTCTATGTCAAACTCTACATTCTCCTCGGGGTCCTGAGTCTGACCATGGTGGCATATGGAATTGTCGAGTATGTGGAGTCCAAGAACCTGGCCCGGCCACTGGCGGGAGAAGAGACAAAACCAGCAGAGGAAGAAGAAGTACAGACAAGACTGTGAAAGCAGCCACCCCATGGGAGGTGATCTCGGAGGGCATCAGCAAGAGTTTTATTTGAAGATGCCTCAGAGTTTAAAGTTGATTCTTCACAACTATTTCAGCAATAGATGGCCATTCTGAAGACATAAAAAGGTTTCATTTCTCATGTAATTTTTTTTCTATTCTATCAAATTTTCCATCCACCATCTCATCAGTAGAGATCAAGAGGATCCATGAAGGAATCAGTTACTTTCAGATACAAAAGAAAAAAGTTTAGGGTCCAATCAGCCAACTGGAACTTGTTTAGAATCATAGAATCAACAACTTACATTTGTTTTTGTGGTTGTCATTGTTGTGTTTAAGAATTGGAAGGCTGTTTAAAATAAAGCAGTCCAACACCATAATTTTCCAAGTGTGTAAACTGACATCCAGGCAGGTCAGCTGACTACCTCCCAGAGTCAGTAAAGGCAAAGCCGGAGTAGGGTTTACGTCTCTTGAGACTTATGGAGTATGAGTTTCTAAATAAATGCAATTATGTCATGGACTTAACTCCTGTCCTAACAGTTTTATTCTAAATACTCACCTAGGTCATATACACAAGTTACAAATAAGTGATTTAGCATGCTGTAGACCATTGGAAGTCTTCAAAAGTAATTTCAAATAAGATACAACATATAAGACTAATAACATGAGGGCCGGGCCTGGTGGCGCAGCAGTTAAGTGCATGTGTTCCGCTGCGGTGGCCCGGGGTTCACAGGTTCGGATCCCGGGTGCGCACTGATGCACGACTTGTCAGGCCATGCTGTGGCGGCGTCCCATATAGAGTAGAGGAAGATGGGCACGGATGTTAGCCCAGGGCCGGTCTTCCTCAGCAAAAAGAGGAGGATTGGCATCGGATGTTAGCTCAGGGCTGATCTTCCTCACAAAAAAAAACAAAAAGACTAATAACATGATAAAACCGGACACAAGGTGTATTTGTTATGTGTTGTGTGCCCATCTTTCAATCAGTACCTACGCCCACCAACAGTCTTTTCCATTCCTCACCTTCCTTAATGGCTGGGAAGCACAGTAATACTGTCCACTGCCTTCTTCGAGCGCTTCTTTCCTTTCTGTGATGGCCTGTGGCCTCTGACACTCCTTGACAGGGTTCCCTGTGGTTTTTCTCTTCTCTCCTCTCACCCCAAGATGCCTCCTTCCCCCACCCCTCCTCAACCTCTGCTCCTCTCCCAGGCTTCTTTTTGCACGTCCTGTGAAGGTGCCCTCGCACATCCTCCACACTCCCCTCTTGTCTGTGGACAGCCCCCCGTGTGGCCCGGCCCCCACCCCAGCCTGCACTCCTCCAGTCCTAAAGCAAACCTGTCGTGTCAGTGTCCTGTTTAAAACCCTCAGTGGCTCCCGTTTTCAACAAGGCAAGTTCTTTAGTCAGGCCCAGGGCCCTCCAGGAGGCTGCCAGCCTTCTCTCAAGTTCCCTCTTTCCTCTAGACCTTCACTCAACACTTCCTCTACCTTGAATACCTTCCTGCCCCCAACACCAATTCACCAAGCTTGATGAAGCTTGATGTCACCAAGACCCATGGGCTGTCCTCATAGCCTATCTAACATACACTTTATTATGTTTATTTTTTGGGTGAGCCTCTCCCACTACTAGACCTTAAGCTTTCCAATGTCTAATATGTAACACTAGTAGGCACATAATGAGTGTTTGTTGAGTGAAGAAAATGTATCAAGAATTCAAAGAATCATTAACCCATCTTGGCCTCTCCATGAAACACCCGTCAAACCCCAGCCCCTTCAACCCCTCGTTCATTCATTCGCTCATTCAATGCTGGCTGGGCCCCTGTCATGCTGGACGTGCAATGGTGAGCAAATACGGACACGGTCCTTCCTCCACACAGACGGTTTTCAGCCAAGTGAGGAGACAGGTGTTGATCAAATAAATACAAAATTCCACCTGCTCCGAGTGAGCGTGTTCATGGCCTCCCAGACGTCACTCGCCTGCCTGTTAGGATCCCGCCTTGACCCCAGCTTCTGTGGCGGGTGGCACTCCTCTCCGTCAGCCAGGCTCAACTGTCCTTCAGCACCTTCTCCCTCCACTGCCCGTGGGGTCGGGGCAGGTCCTGGGGTGCCTCCTCCACTTCTCTGACCAGTCTTCTCCGGCCCTTCCACGGACCCACCACCCTGCTCCACACCCTCCCTAGCCTCACTGTTTCCTGACTTCGCTCCTCCCTGCAGGGCGCCAGTCCCTCCCATCCGCACCCGACTGATGACTCCACCCTGCAGCTCAGCCCCTGTGAGGGTTCCCTCTCATCTAAAGATCAACATCTGCATCTCGACCATGACTTTCCAGGCCCTTGGTGACTTAATCCCAGCCACCTCTTTTGCCTTATGTCCATGTCAGCCAAACTTAACTGTTCAATGTGTCTCTGAAGTGCCTGGTTCTTTCTTTGTGGGCCCTTAGCTCGTGCTACTCTTATGTCTATCCAAACCACTTTCATCCTCTCGAATGAAATGGCATTAACTCCCAGGCACGAATGAAATGCTATAACTTCTGGAAGTCCTCCACAGTCTTCTCAACAGAGCTGGGTCCTCATCTGCTCTAAAACTCTCAACTCTGTTTTCTTCCCCTTTCCGCCCCTTTATTGCAGGCTGCCTCATGTCACATTTGTTTGCAGGACACCTGAGCATCTTTGCATTTCCCACAATGTGGAACTTGGGTCATTTCACAGAGAATCAAAGCTCAACAAGTATGTGTACAGAAGGCCTCAACGAGGGGTCCAGGACATGCACTGTCCGCTCCAATCTGCAGGGTTGGGTTCCTGTAAATAAACCATGTGGGGCTCTCAGAGGCCAACCGGGTCTAAGACGGGCTGATTTGGAACTGATCTCTGGTTACTCACTCAGCTCAGAGCATTTGAAAGTGAGATGTCCTAACTTATTTAGGAACCCCACGTACCTTCCAGGAGGCCCTTCAAGATTACCCTAAAGACAACAGACCAGATTCTCCTGACCCCACCAGGCCCATCTCTGGAGACACAGATGGCACTTGGGAGTGTACCCTGTGGGAAAGGAGGCACAAGCTGAGAGGAGAGTCAGGAAGTGCACGCATGACCCTGGAGAGACCTCTAGACGGAGGTGTTTAAATTGGTGTCCCAGGGTCAGAGCCCAGGAACAGAGAGGAGCACATGCAGTCCTAAGTTTTATTTTATTTATTATTTTTGGAAGCCTGGGAGGAGCCCTCAGCAATTGTGGACATTGGGCATGGTCTCATGTGTGGGGTGGCTCGCCGTTGAGCATCTGATTGAGCTGTGTGCTGAGCTGACCTGCCTTAAAAGGCAAAGACTAGCTGCTCAGTACTATTGCTGAGAGTACTCAGTTCCCCCTTAGCCCAGGTGCTGGTGCTGAGAGTGCTCAGTTCCCTCAGTACTATTGCTAGGAACACTCATTTCCTCCCGAGCCTGGGTGCTGGTGCTGGGAGTGCTCAGTTCCCTCAGTACTGTTGCTAGAAGTGCTCAGTTCCTCCCAAGTCTGTGTGCTGGTACTGGGAGTGCTCAGTTCCCTCAGTACTGTTGCTAGAAGTGCTCAGTTCCTCCCAAGTCTGGGTGCTGGTACTGGGAGTGCTCAGTTCCCTCAGTACTATTGCTGGAGTGCTCAGTTCCCTCAGTACTATTGCTGGAGTGCTCAGTTCCTCCCGAGCCTGAGTGCTGGTTCTGGGAATACTCTGCCCGTAGGGATCTCTCTGATGATCCATCACACACCAGAAAATGAGGAGAATGTGGGCAGAGAGGCCAGGTCTTGAACTCCAGGCCCAAAGATCAAGCTTCTCCCAATTGTAGGGAGCAAAGTCTATTTCTGTGTAAGAAGTGATGTGGAACAGGGCTGCATCTCCAAGTGTCCCTGAAACAGAGATCTCAGCGGTTTGAAAGACCTCACTTGAGGCTAAAGGATCTGCAGAACTCTGATCAGATGGCTGAACACATTATCTTGTTTTGCTACTGTTGATGCTCGCAGGAAAATGTGCCAGACGACACCTCTGCCAGGAGCCCAGGTCTCTGCAAGTGACCAAGAGGGTTTCAAGCCAAGCCCACAACAGGGCACACAAGGGCTGTCTGGTTGTTTGGAGAGCAGTTGGCTGGTGCTATCGGATGCTCACGATGAACAGCTCTTTCCCGTCTGCTGTGCACCCGCCCGGCTTCTTGGTCGGGCATCCTGGCTCTTCCTGGGGGACTGCCTACAGCATTAGGGGCTTTTCTTTTCTCTTTATCCTTTGAACTTTTTGATGAGGAGAATCTGTGAATGTGCCCAAGAACCCTGGTGTGAGGTCTAGAGAAACAGTCCTCACAGCTCTTGTCTCTGCCTGTCGGTGGGTGAAGGATGGATGGTCTGTCTCCTTGGTCATGTCAATATTGCCAGCCTGGCACGTGCTTGTTAGGAATGCTGAATTGTAGCAGCAACTAAATTATTTAATCTTGTTCTCAGTATTCCATTTGTAAAATGAAAATATTCCTACTTCATAAAGAATCATTAGGACAGTGTGTTATCGTAGAAGACTGTTAGAGCTATGCAATGGAGCAGTAAGAATGACCACCCCATAAGACTCAGGATTAAATACAACGCTGTTTTGTGAATCCCTAACCCTCAGTGGAGTTACTACAAAACCTCGATTGGATTTGATCCAGCCATCGTAAACCTGTTGGCCCAACTCCAGGGCTGTGCATCAAACATATTCTTTTATTACTTGCTCAGACTAATTAATGAGGGCAAGATTTAAAAGCATACAGTGTAGGAATGTATGTCACACTATGTTATAAAAAATTTCCTAAAAATTAAGGGTATATCTAAAAGAAAACTGTTAAATATAGAAATAACTTATTTCAAGCTAAAAATAATAAAGAGAAAATGAATGCGTCAGAAATCTAGGCAGTGGCAGCTATAGGTATACTTACTAGAGTTTACTAAAAGGACTCCTAAATTTACTAGCAGCCAAGGCAATAAAAATACACAGATTATACAATAGTCATTATTTGATGAAAGGAGGCTTATGAGTGTTTAAAAAGAGATTAATTTTCTAGATACTAAAGTGTAAAGAAATGTTCATCCCAGTTCCTAACTGAAGCACGTGACAAGCACAGAGGACACTGTCTGATGGAGGTTTTTGTGTGTTTTATGGCAGTTTAGTCATTGTGATCACTGATCAAAGCTGAGGGCCTGCAATTGGAATGTGGTTCTGAGAACAGGTTGGGCAGGGTGAGCTAATGAGGGCTAGGAGGGTGGCTCTCCAACGAGGTAGATTTGGTCACTTTCTGCCACACCCTCCAGGAGACTAGAATTTTCTACTCCAAAGCCTGAAGGCCTTCAGGGATCCTAATCTTAACCCCTAACCCAACCCTGACCCTAACCCTAACTCCAACCCTAACCCCTAACCCTAACCCTAACTCCAACGCTAACCCTAATCCTAACCCTACCCTTAACCCTGACCCAGACCAGATTAGGGTCTCCTCCAACCTGGGTTTATTCAGTGAGTGAGCGAAAGTACACACAGCATTTAACTA